TCAAAAACGCCTCGAGGGGTCTTAAGTTTGTAGTACTAGATCTAGAGTCTCTGCAACTTATCATTTTCACCGACTCCTCCTTCGCCAATAATAATGATCTGTCCTCTCAAATAGGTTTCGTAATGGTTCTTGCAGACAAGAACAATAAGGCCAACATAATTCATTGGTTGTCAACCAAGTGCAAAAGAATCACAAGAAGTGTCTTAGCAGCGGAACTTTACGGAATGGTGAACGGATTTGATATTGGCGCATCTATCAAATCAACTCTCGACGAGATACTAGACAATCAAATACCTCTTGTTCTGTGTACTGACTCGAAATCCCTGTACGATTGTTTGGTTAAGTTGGGAACAACTCAAGAAAAAAGGCTTATGATAGATCTCATGTGCCTCCGTCAATCCTACGAAAGAAGGGAAATAGCTGAAGTTCGATGGATCGAAGGAAGTTCCAATCCTGCAGATGCTATGACAAAGGAAAAACCTTGCCATGCACTCAAGGAACTTATTGATACAAATTCAATATGTGTCAACCCAAATCAGTGGGTTGAAAGATAAAGGAAAATCTAGTATTAAGATAGGTCGTCTATTTTTTTCATTTTCATTTTCATTTTCATTTTTTATTTTTCATTTTTCTCGTTTACCGCCAGTGTGTGAACTGGCTCACAACATGTTATGTACAAGGGTCGAGTTGAGACTTTTCCTTATAGGGAATAGCGTTTAGCTAAATGTAACAATGTATTTATAGAATTCCTTCCGGCAGGGAGAAGAAATAGGAATGAATTGAGTAACCCCACACAAGCTTGTGAATTGACCATTGGTAGTGTTCCGACAGAGACTGAGATCATCAACCCCAAGTTGAAAGCATACAGAAAGCGGCAAGAACTGCTGTCCCAAAGTTTCCAATCTAAGCAGGAAATATCGCAAATACAGACGCTACAATACAAAATAGTACCTCAGAATCAGTCGATGCTATCATTTGAATCTACTCCCGCCCCTTGTCAACCACAAAAACCTATGCCCCGTACTTTTTCCTCGTCTCCCAACAACCAACAACCAACTCTAGCACTCCCAGGGCTTGTTTCATCTCAAGACTGTGCAGGATCAGGGCCCCACTTCAATCACAACCGGGATCTCTACAGCACTCTTCCCCCTATTGACTTTCCCTACCAACGACTCGACCCTGCCAAATCAACCCAGTTTGTCAGGATGTAAAGAAAAACGAGCAAGTATACCAGTGAACCATATGATCTACTTGATGATAAGATGAAGGTTTCTCTTAATGTCTGCTTTCACATTGACATCGATCCAAGTCAATTCCATGCAGTGTTCCCTCGTATTCTTACAGGTAGAGCTGAACATTTTTACCTACACTTTGTCAACCGCAATGAAACATTTGCTGTGTCTTACACAAAGGTCAAACGCCACTTTGACACCGAGGTTAATCACAGTCATTACTATACAGATTGGAACACCACTATATTCAACCGCACTCGTGTGGAAAACCCTGACAAGAAGCTCCACGAAGTCCTACAAATGACGCTCGACAAGCTTGAACTCTGCCAGAGAGCGCTTGGTGCCAACTATTCTGGACCGACTGTACTTCGCACTGCAGTTATAAATGCCTGCCGTGGTGCCCCTGAACTGAAAATGGCCCTTTTCAAGCCTGCCACAGAGTGTGAAGTGTTGTGCTGGTGATGGCTAGGTTTACGATGCACAAGGGTAATGATCACTGAGGGTGAAGGAAGAACTTTCCAGGTGGCTCCATGATGAGTAGAGGAACAATGGAGCACTGTTTAAAAAGTATTTCTAGATTGTACTGCCAGATGGAGGAGACTAGAATATTCCGTGATACTATTTTGGGTAAATGAGGCGAGAGTCTAGCTACCTCAGATGTGTATATAATTAGCGCTTTCTACTTACCAAATCCTCATAGTTCTGAATATCAAATATATCAGCAGTTCATATTGATTCATCGATAATCATCCGTAAAACTTCTGCCAATTAACCTCCGTAAGCTCTTACCTTTACAACATGTAGACTACCATACCCCTGATTGTAGTAACTGCTCTTGAGTACTTAAGGAAGATCTAGGACTGGATCTGTTCTATAGCTTTTTGTCTTGTAATTATTCTAGACTTTAGATTGATCGAATTACCTTAAGCTTTACCTAATACCCCGACTCTGTCCCGTTCCGCCTCCGTCTTGTTCCGCCTTCGTCCCATTCCGATCACATGGTATTCCGACTACATTGGTCCCGGCATCGTCTCGTTCCGACCCGTGTCTTCCGAGCTAAGCCAAAGTTCCTGACACGTGAAATGATACAAATAAAACACTCGGAAAATCAGTCTGCTAAACTGCAACAAGTATTGGAGCAGCACTTTAAACACTCTAGATGGGTGATAGCAAACAAGTTGAAGACGCTTTACATGTCCACCTGTGGGCGGTAATTTTCAAGGTCACCAATGCTATCCCCCCCACTGAGCGAATCTGTTACGGCGTGTAGTGAACAAAGTGGGATTTGCCGTCTGCTGAAGATATCCTAGTAATGACTAGGCGAGTAAGTACGAGAAGATATAGACGGGTAAGGTTAGGAGTGTTAAACTGATTGGGCGAGGCACAAAAGGTTTGGACTGCAGAACGAGAGATCGAGAGGTCGAGTCGAGCAGTATGATTCTAGAGACTATGAGGATATAAGATTGAAAAGCTGAAGAACTACTTTAGAGTAATTCCAGCTTCCTTAAGTATAACTAACTACGTGCTAGATGTAAGTGAGGCTTTGGAAGATTATGTCATGGTAAGCCCCACCAACTCGAATTGTCAGAGTTTTCTCGGATGTCTTCTCCTTGAACCTTCTTCAAGGATGCATGGCCATAACAGAATCTATCCCGAGGGCTACTTGGCACAGGAGTCTCCAACCTCTAGCTGCAAAGAAAAGCTGGGTTTCACTGGCTCTGAATGGAATGCGCCAAGTCGCAGTCCTCTTATTCACATCTGTAGCACCCACTGTATCTCATTAACCAATGAACAACAATCCCAAGGCGAAAGTCGATAATCGACCCTTCCTCTGCCAGGACGCCCATTGTGAAGGACTGTTACGAGAAAGATCCGTGAGGTGGGTCCTAGTGCATCCAGTACTGAGACAGGCAGCTGAGGCGTAGAACAAGGGAGGAAGCAGGCCTTAAGTTGGCAGGCTGGGATTGACAATTTTGAGTAATTTTCAACTTTGAGGTATTTTATGAGCGCCAATACCAAAGTCTCGACTAATTAGTCAGAAGGACTTCATTATCAATGAGTTTACGGTACGGAAATAGTAACACTAATCTATATAACAGCAATCAAGCTCTGTAAAAACTTCTCCGACGTTTCATAATGGCCTTCGGGAAAGGGTTAGAAGGAGGATAGAAAGATAGAGCGTGAAGTTCCCGAGGTATAAATAAGTCTACAATACCGGGCTAGTCACCCTCTTCGAACGCTTCAGAAGGGTCACTATGTCTTTGGATCTAGTCCTAATGTCGGTATTAGAAGAGCTCTGTGTCCATTAGCTTTTACAATTAATCCCGGCCGTCATACACCGGCAAACAGCCTGTCAGGAATGCCTATTGTTTAATCTATGTATGTGGAGATAACCAGAGTCTAGTGTTCTATGATTCTGGTCTGGCATTTTGGCCGAGTATTTATGCACCTATTTCATGTATAATGTAGGAGGGCAACATCTTGTCTGGCATTCTTGTCTTGATCCTTGTCTCTGCTCCGCTGTTTACATGCCGCTTCTGACACAGCCATTGTTTGGATATCTTAGGGCAAGGAGCTCTTAAAGTGTATGTTAAAATAAGAACATGTGGGGTATGGTATTGTCCGAGGGTAGCTTTTGCTGAGTTATAGGATGCAATAAACTATTCAAATGAGGATCCCTGTCCTAAATGCAGAGAGGACCTACATGTATTAGGTAGTTATATACTGAGGAGAAACTTTATCAATAGAAATAATGTAGCATGCTAAATACCAAACAAATAACGCATCCATGTACGTATATGTGGGCCAAATGGCTTGAGATTGGTAATTGCTTCAACTTATCATTAATTCCCCCTCAAAACGGATCATGTAATCTATAGCTACTGCCCTCCATATAGACCGGTAATTAGAATGTTTTAGATTACTATGAAGGCTAAGTTACTGGCGAGGAATCCCCTGGATATAATGGAGACAGAGCCAAGGTAGCCGTTGAGAGAGATCACAGACTCAATGATGCTTTGTCACGTTTAACCCTCGCTGACTAAGGTGATTAGCATAAACAAACAAGCAAGGTACAATAAGTAGAATGGTCCTCTTCGACTCCTTGTAGCTTCGTGATCAATCTATCCACTAATATGGACATTGTCTTATTTCGTGACATGCAGCTAGCTATACAGTTTCTGGCGGGAAGGCTGGACCTGGTAGATAGGCAGGTCTATATTAGTTATATCTGAAATCATTTTGACCCATTTGATGTCTGCTCGACCTCTCAGCATTATCAACTACAACTGCCGGGACAAGCATGTTGTTGAATAGGTGTCAATACTTTTCCCAAGCCAAGCCAAGCCATGCTTGCACCTGCACCGATGTCCATCCACCGTAGAAGGATGAAGCCTATGAGATCCATGCCTTCCACAGGATCTCTAAGCTTCCTTCGTTTTTTGAGGCATCTTTACTCGCATAAGTGACTTGAGACCTTTGCGGTACTCTATAAGCCGCAAAGTCTGTCATGTTCTACTGGATATAAATACTGTATGTTTGGCAACATAGTAATCAAGTCTTCATCCGTGAAAAGGAATTGTGCGGCACTCTCGTCATAAGAACATCAGTTCTTTCACACCAATCAAGTTTAAAAGCACAAATTATCACGGTTAATTTCTCTGACTTATCAACTCGAATCATTGCAATACTTGAAGAGACTTGTGCGTCGATTCAGAAAATAGTCCCGTCTGGATACAACTAACTGCTGTGCAGATAAATTGCTTCACAATGAAAATAGTTCTTCCTCATCTCGCTATTGCGCTCTTGAGCGTTGTAGCGCCAGCACTTGCTGTGATGTATGACTGTTTTGGGACCATTATTGATGGGGATGTCGTGAAGAGAGCAGAGGCTAGTCACGAATATGCTAGTACTTCAAAAGTAGCCTTAATTAAAGAGGATTCGAAAATTCCATACACATACTTTGATATCCATACCACTGGTCAATATTCCGAGAGTTAGTTCATTCTTCCAACTCTGAGTTCCCACATGACTAATATTTATTGTGCCAAATAGGATATACAGGTTTTGCCTGCTTTGTGGACACAGCTATGACCAAACCCGATGTGCGGAAACATCATGAAGAAACTTGGTGGCCGTGTAATCGCCTAACTTCAAGTTGAGGAGATGAAGTAACTTGCCAAAGCCGTAATTTTGCGGCTGTGACAAAAAATATGTGCCGTTAGTAATAGGTCGAGGGGTAGGTACAGAAGCACCAATGTGGTGATTATTGGCAGAAAATTATGTTCCATAGAGGACCCTCAATAGCTCCATTGATATAAATTTATATCTATTTATGGTGGCCCTATTGTATCTAAAGCTAACTATTGCCATCCTGCCATTCCAACCTATCTAATCTCGCCTGTACGCAAATGTATACTGCCGAATTTTAAAAGCTCTTTGATGTCAGATTCAGAACTTTTTTTTTAAACAATTTGATGTGTATGCAGCTACAAAGCTTTGACATATGACCGGTGCTATTTTTACATGTAGAATGACTCTTTTGACATTGGAGAAACTCCTACTCTGGATATTATTTGCAAATACTGTTGATATGTCACGTGGTATTAGCATTGCATAGACCTTTCATAGACATATGTATCTCTGCTGGTTAGAATAGACTAGACGAGTAATCAATCTGACATATACCTTTGCAACAAATACACTCCGAGATATGTTGCATACACAAACAGTCGACCCTCCTCCATAAGTACTCAATGTTGGAAAATGAAGTATAATCTTATTAATAACAATTACCTTCATTACGTAAGGGTTCCCAACACAATCCCTATATCCACTATTCACACTCTAGCCCCGTCTCCCCTGTAACATTTGTATGAACAGGTACAAGTGTGGCTCCACTTCTATGACAAGAGAACATAGCTTAAGTGATTGCTCTTTTTACCACTCACTGATTTACATGATTTGTTAAACTTTAGTGCAGCAGATTGATTGTTGTGTAGTAACTTTATTACCAAAGGATGGTCTCTAATTATTACAAAATCTAATGTCTTGCAATGCTCGGGTAGTATACTAATCTTTACCTTCACGTGATGCTTACAGATTTGTCTGATACAACCTATTTCAACACTCCCCCTCGGAGCAAGTTGTCTCCTCAATTTTTCTATCAACGTCCGAGAGTCCCATCTGCCTTTTAAACCTCTGAAAGGCTATGCGTGCAAGTGGCTTTGTCATCCCATCTGCAACCATTTGTGACGTTGAGATATAATGGACCTGAAGCTTTTTATTCTTGGCGAGGTCACAAATAAAATGGTAGCAGATGTCAATGTGCTTTGAACGCTCATGAAGATAGGGATTTTTACCAGGGCCAGTGCACCTTGATTGTCGCCGAACATTTGGACAGTTTTCTTATTCTGACTTATGTACTCCGGGCACAACATATCCTTGAAAATTTGTGCGGCCCACTGTCCCTGTTTGGCATACATCGCCTGTGAAATATACTCAGATCCTGCGGTTGACGTTGAGACAGAATTTTGTTTCTTAGATGCCCACGAGAAAGGCCCTCCATAAAACATCCCAACTCCCCCAGAAATACTCTTCCGATCGACCTTATTGCTTGCCCGATCTGCATCAGTATAGATGGTAAAATTTTCGGCATGATTACTTTTGGGTCCAAAACGCAATTTTTGTCCGAGGTTGACTTTAAATATCGCATAAGATTCTTGAGCGCGTAACCATGATGATTGACAGGCGCTCTCATGAATTTTGATAGCCTTCCTAATACAAATGCAATGTCTGGTCTCGTGAAAATCATTGCATACATTAAACTACCAATTGCCTGTGAGAACTCATTTGGATCAATTGATTCATCATTTTCTTTCCCAGGTCGCAGATGTTTGTAATCGACTACAGGAACCAATCTGGGTTTATATTTCTCTTTTGTTATACCAAACTTATCGAGAACCCCCGAGATGTACTGCTCCTGATCGAGATAAATTGTCCTAGTTTTTCTTTCTCGAGTTATTCGAACTCCAAAAATCTTCGAAATACCCCCCAGGTCCTTGGCGTTGAATCTAAATGATAACTTTTCATAAAACAATTCAAGTGAGGTAGCATGGTGAGAAGCAGCAGCAATATCATCCACGTAAACTAATAACCAAATTTCCATTTTTGCATTCACATATAGGCATGGATCAGCTCGACTCTGGCTAAACTTGCATTCTATTAAGAACTGCTTCAGTAATTGATTCCAATCACGACTAGCTTGTTTTAGCCCATAAAAACTCTTAAGAGCTCTTAAGGCTTTGCTATTTCCAACAATGACACCTTGCGGAGCTGATAGATAAATTTCTTCTTTAAGGTTTGATTTTGTAAATGCATTTTTTTTATCAAAATGCCAACAGTCCATGTTTCTTTTGGCTACTATTACCAAGAAAATCCGCAGGGTGTCCATACGCACAGTAGGAGCGAATGTCTCTATGTAATCACTCCCATATTGCTGACTAAACCCTCTTGCAACGAGTCGAGCCTTAAACATCTCTAAGCTTCCGTCTGGATGAATTTTGATGGTGAATAACCAGCGTGTCGAAACCAAGTTGGTTCCCTTAGGAGGTGTGCATTCTATCCATGTCCCATTGGACTCAAGAGCATTTAATTCTTCTTTTATAGCTGCAATCCATTCAGTGGCATAGATTGGATCATGCACTGCATCATTGTGTGATTTGTTGGAAATGGAGACACGGAGTGTTGTGGACGTATGGGCCCTCCATTTCGTCTAGGTTCCCGACACAATCTCGTGTGTATTTAAGAGGTTGGAATAGGTAATATGGTAGCGCTTCAGGCTACCTATTGGACATATGAGCGGCTGTAGGGCGTGGGCGCAAGGAGGTTATTGGGGGGTTTTCTATGTCTGGATGGCGCCACCCTCGTTTATGCTGTGTCTTAAGCTCTGTGTCGCTTACAGTTGTACTTGTAGCGCACATCTCCCACAACTTTAGCTTCAATCCGAACATGAAACTCTTTTAGTCAACTTCTACTTTCGTTCCATGAATATTGCGCCAATTACATTGTGCAATATTTCCAACATGATTTTGAAATTTTGATACCAATAACTTCATTTGCAGAATAGGCAGAATGTGTTAAGATTATGAGCACATACGGGTTGAATCTCTACCTTGGAAAGATGCTATATGTGTTTGTGGAACACCAAGGTAGATATAGAAAAGACTTGTGTTAACTGAGGAACGCTTGTATTCAGATGACTTTTGCTTGCTCCTACTGCTAGGAGATACATCTCATAATATACATGTCCTGGATAGCCATATCACAGTTCCTACACTATCCAGTACATTCCATTCCATTCTACTCTATGATGCCCTAATTATGGGTTGCCCTCAATTCCATGTCCTTGGACTTGCATGAAATATTGGCATGCATAAATCTGCACAGATCTGGGATCTCTTGGCAGATTATAACAGAATGTGATATGTGGCTTTGAAGGTTGGATCCAAGTATTATTGCAATCATAGCTTTTATTCTCTTGGCTTCTCAATCATTGTCATTACCAACCTTTTCTTTACTTTTTCTGAAGAAATATCTTGGCTTGAGATCGCTTTCGCTTAACCAGCTATTTGTGATTGATGCAATATTGTCATGGATGTGGGAAAGTATTTGGTCATCAAGCATTTCATCCATGTCTGGCGTAAATATTACTTCTTGAATATCATCTTGACTCCCTTTTACATGATTTACAACAGTATTTACTGAATTGGAAATTGGAATTGGGTCAGAAAACAACTCTACGCCCCTCATTTCCTCTGGGACCAGAGTCTGGTCCCCATCTTCAATTTCTTCAACATTTTGACTTTTGACCAGGGAACAATTGATGCTAGAATTCTCAGGCATAGAGATGGCACTGGAAAAAGATCCTTTGTCATTTTCTGTCACAGGCTCATACCTGGTTATCATTAGGCTGCTGCCTAACAAATAAGGCTTGAACTCTTCCAACCATATTAAACATCATACATGTCATGAACCCCTCCACAACTCATTAGACCCAAGTATAGGCCTTGGCCCAGTTCATGCAAATCTATTCTTAAGTGACAAATTTAGATTGCAGACAGGACGACTCGAACACCAGTCGTGAGTCATCTAAGCCACATGCATCATAACTATTTTAATAACTAAAATTACTAACATTAAAATGAAGCTGAATTAAATTAGACGGAGATGCTGGTGTTTGTTGGAGGACAGGTCATGATCTATTTTGAGAATGGTATGAAATGAGGGAACGAGATCATAGTCTTGTAAATAAATAGGAGGCTTGCAGTCATGTCTCTGCTCGTTACTTTAAGATTTTCATTTGTATCTAGCTCTGAGTTCAGTTTGAATAAAACGCCACTTTAAGACCGTCACATTTTCTTTCTCTTGGATGGCAGAATGTTTCGCCTTCACTATGCCATTGGAAAGACAATCCTGTTTCAACCTATTTTTGATGTCCTCATCAGGGATATCTAAATTTGGTGTCTAAACTCTTTCAATTTGATTTGACACTTGAATTTTAGTTTTCTCAATTTCAGTGACAGGTACAGTCATTGATATATTGTTATGAGCATGGGGCTTAGGCGATATTTCTAGGTTGTTAGTTTTTCTGGACCTTCCTTGACTCTTTCTTTCCCCAAGTATGTTGCTTGTACCTTGAGTGCCGCTAGTATTATCCCTAAGTTGAAGACTTACCGTACCACCCTTAGTTTTTTCATCCACACACAGCGTACTTGTACGACAAGTATACCCTAGATCTGATGCGTACACTTTGTATTGTTTAGTTGTACATTCAACTGGTCCCATAAAAACACCCTCACGTCTGCGAAGGACCAATTTATCGTGTCTACCTCTGGCTGGTAAGGTTTTTGGGTTCACATAATTGTAACATTTGCTCCCCATACCCGGACGGTTTTATATCAGGTTTTTTTTCTGTATATGCTTGCTCGGGGCAAGTTATCTCTCCACTAGTTATTGTTAGAATGGAAGTTGTATAGAGAAGCGTAAGCTGTTAGGCTTGTATTTAAAATCACCTAGTGAAGCGAGTTGGGAGATTGAAGATTCTGAAAACTATAGTGGAGAGTTGTTGATTAAACCCACTTAGTATCAGAGCGCTATTTAA